TTATAGATCTTCTCTACGGGGGGGGGGAGGGTTACACACCGAGAGCCGGTGTGAGCCTCCATCTTTGCTCCGGCTTCATACCTCACATCAGTCCCCAAAACCAACTGACAAACACCCACGTGAAAGATGTCTGCCCTCTTTGTGTGTGAGTGTGTGTCAGGCACTCTAGCTCTCTTCTCTAACTCTTTATCTACCTTCTTTACCCCCCCCCCCACCTGTCTAACCTTATTTCTTTATGCCCAGAAAACTTGCACTCTGCTGATCCTCATCTGGTAAATTGATGTTTTTTTAGCAGTTAAATGCGAGCAGTCGGTGATACATGACAGTAGAATTCTGCAGAGGGCTCTCTTTGATTATGATAACTACAGAAGAAAACACTTTATCAGGCGCCCTTTTTTTTTTCCTCTTTCTGTCAGATAAATGTAACAGGGCCACTGTGCTAATGTGTGGCACTTCTGACAAACAACAACGTCACACTGAGGCTTTTAGTCAGACAGGAACATCTTGTGACAAACCTTTCTTTCTCCTATGCCACCAACAACACCTTTCAGAGATCGCAAGTATTGCCTGTAATCTTTTATTTTCCGCTCTTTTGTTTTTTTCATTAAAGAGTGTTTTTCATTAAAAGGATTATTTGACAGGCAGTAGTTGCAGAAGTGGTTTCACACCAGCAAGACTAAGAAAAGCTGGGAATTTCTCTCAGCACATTGTTCAAAGCCTAACCACCTAACCTCAGAGTGTGAATTGGTTGTGGTTATTTATGGATCCTGCAACAAGATGACCTCTGGTTTATTGAACTTCAGTACATATGCTCAAACGACAAACATAAGCAGATATATTCCAATACAGTCTCTTGATGCAGTTCAGAGGTGTGCCTGTGGAGATGAATAGGCCTCGGTAGCGGTCAACCCCAGCCGTTCATTCGTTTCAGTAATGAGTCAGAGAGGCTCTCCCTGTGGTGTACACTTGATGGTGAACAGCTTCGACCTCCAACGTTCTGTCTTGTTAGAAAAAATGAGACAAAAGTCAAGCTTTCATCTTGCTCTGTTTGTGCCGTTCCTATATATATTTTTGACATTTACTGTTTGCAGTGAAAAACAAGTCAACATAGAAAATAAATGGAAGTTACTGCAAATAAAAAAAATAAAAACAAATCTGACAGTAAGTTTTACCCTCTACTTTGTCGGTCTAGGCTTTTAAAACTATGCGTCACTCACTGTCCACAGAACACAGTGCAAAAGCAAGCTACTGTCACTTAAATCCAGGGGGAATAATAACATATTTATTCTCACAGTGATTAAAAGGATGATTCCACTAATTGGCTTTTCAGAGATACAGCGATGTCTGATCTGTGTTATGATTACTGCATTCGATTTATTATCCTGTTGTGTTAAGCTGCTGTTTTTTTTTTTTTTATGAATTTATCTTTTTGATCTTGTCTCTTGCTGGGCTGACATGTTGTGTTATTCAAACGATGACAATAAAATGTCTTTTTTTTTAATAAAAAAAAAACGTAGAAAGCAGCAAATCTGATTACAAATCATTAATCTATCTGTATCTGCATCTCTAAATGAAACAAAGAAAGCGTAATAGGATATACACATGACAGATTGATATTTACACTGTACAGAGGTATTCCAGTGTCTGTAATCACGGATTTAATCGAAGGAGTTAATTTAGCATTTCGACACACATTCTCTTTCCTCTATTTATCACTCGAATCCTTTTGACTAATTAAGAAGCAGATGTCTTGCTCAGGCTCTCTGCTGTTTAACAGATTTCTCTCATTAATATGTGAGCTGCTCATTTCAATGGAGTGTGAAAAATATGGACAGCGACTCCAGGAAATACAACACCTCAAACACTGAGTAAGAAGTGATTTCAGCCTCAGCAAAGGTAATTTAAAACAGGTATAGTGTGTTCTAACAAATGATGCTTCCAGTATTAAGTGTTGTAATTGTATTAATATATTTTTAACCTTTAATAGCAGTTAATATGATTAAATCCAGAGTTGTTTTGCATTATTTATTACTGATCTGTCATGCATCATTTGTCACGGCAAACAAGCTTCACTCACTCAGTGCTCTTTGGATGTTGATATGGGATATTTGTGTGTTTTGTGCTGTGCTGTCATTCATGTGAGCTGTGTGCACACTAATGCTTTTTTACACGACTGAAGCGCCTAACGGATAAATAAAGATACTTGAATTTGAATTGAAATAACGAAGATGTACCTCAATGTTTTTTGCAATCTCGGGACCCATGGCTATTGTCCAACGACATTTTATGTCACTTGGAACCATGGCTATCTTTTTGGCAAGTAGTCAGGGATTAGCCTTTAACAACTTCCTTTCAGGTCATCCTTACTTTAGAGTTACTGCAATGTTTACAGTCTAATCAATGACTTGAGAAGCAACCATGTGTTCGGATTAACAGCGGCGCCAAATTTGAGGTCGTATTCATTGTAATAGAAGTTAAATTGTTCTCTTTTTTTTATACACTTTTTGTTTTGTTTAATGAAAGCTTTTTCTTGTAAGTGTTTTCACAAACTTGCTCATTGGTGGATTCATTTTTGGTCACTCTAAATATTATATCAAAGAGTACAGCACAGTCCTGCTCTTTATGTAAAGTACCATTGAAACCCTTTTATTTTGATTTGGAGCTATATGAATAGAAATTTGATTGGTTGATGTAAACTCTTTGTCACTGTGATTTATTCTGTTCTGAATCATTTTAAAGATGGCTGACGATTTTAATCGTTATAAGAGTGAGTTTTTAAATAGTCCATCATTCATCTTAAGTGTTTCAGAGGAGGTGATCAGATTCTATCTCACTCAAGTAATAACGTGCATGCAGGTGTGTTGACAAGTCTGATCTTGTTAGATAAGTGACGCCTTATATCAGCGAAGGTGACTAAGAGCACGTGGTAACTATACAGTCTGTTGTATGCCACAGGAAAGTGTGACGAGTCACCTGCCTCAGATTGTCACATCACTTCACTCTAACAGGGCTGTCGTGCCTTCACAGCTTAATTGAAGTGATTTCAGGTGTTTGGTTAGACATGTGACAGACAACGGAAAGTGTCTTGACTGAAATCCACCACCTTCTATAAATACTCCTCCCCCAGCTGCCCCCGCAGCCTGTGCTTAAACTCAGAGAAGAGGTAAGTGTGACACCTAGTGGCCCTAAAAGAAATAACATGTTGTATTTTTAACCTCCTTTCATGAAGAAAGTGCATGTTTATCATCCCTGATCAGTGACACGAGAGTGTTAACAAAGCATAATTACGGTTGCTTTCATGAATCCATCATGGTCATTTGAATAAGACCTTTTGTATGCAGAAACATGCACACTCAATGACTCAATTATTCAAAACCCAAACTTAATTCCAGACATACATGACCTGGTTTCTGCTTTCCAAGCCAAGAAAAGAAAATGACTTTGTCATGTGTGTTGATTGCAGCTAAAAAATATCTTGTACTTGTCATTTAAAACCATAAATCCTGAGGCCAAAGTCAACAGGGGGTTAAAACGTTTCTGTGCTCCACGATCTTGGCAGCTGAAAGGCACACACTCCATATTGAACTCCGATGGAGCCAAGTGTCCTCAGACTCTCTGGTGGAGGCTGAAAAAAAAAAAAACACAGCCTATCTGAAGAGATTGTTTTCACAGTATGCCGAAAACTAATTACAAGCAATAAATTAATTTCACGCTACTGCTTTGGAATTAATTGCATCTTCACAGAAGTGACTGGAAGTGATGGCTCAAGCAGCTCTGATAAGGGCGGACACACAAACGGGTCTATTGAATTATAGGGCTTATCACGGCCATTGCTTTACATAAGGATGGCCGTGATAATCCGTGAAGAAATGATCTAAAACTCAGTTTTGCTGTCCTTTAATTTGCGGCTAAGGTATTTTGGTTGTGCTGCTCCCCATTACACACTCAAACACACACCATATATTGTAACAACTGAGCTTGCTGTTTGGCGCTGTAGCTCTATACAGGGTTATTAGTTTTCCACCTTCTTCAATCTAAATTAAATTCTACGTAGCCTTATATAAGACTGAGGCCAAATAAGGCGTCGCTGTCAAAATCTTTTCTCTTTGCTCCTCACTTTGGACTCACATGATACATTTCACACCCGTTGAGTAGAATGCAGCTATAAATAAACTTTGAGCCAGATACTTTTTTTTTTGCTGTGGAAGTTTTCCTAGGTCTCAATGCTCTGTCATGTCATCACTGTGACCAGTCTGTTAGTCAGATATTCCCTTACAGCACAACAGGGAGCACACTCTCACTTTTACGTCATGATAAATATCTGGCTCAGGGTTAAATACAGAGCAGGAAATTCTTTATTAAACAAAAGAGCTAAAGAGTTGGGCTCATTGCGGCTTTTCATGCCAGGTTTTGAGTGTACCAGTCATACACAAAGGCCTTTATTTCTGCAGAGAATCCTAATTAATAGGAAAAAAGACTGTTTATTGTTGAAAAAGGGGGTAATAGAAAGTCCCTCACTGTGCTTGGAGTGGAGATATTTTGGGTTAACTGCTTTCTTTCATTATTTTTAAGTTAAGTGACTTTTCAAGATTCTCCTAATTGGCCCCGGTGGGATTTATGAGCAAGAACCTTTGATGTTCACATCTCGTTCACATCCTCCCATAATAGTGACAGTGTTATTGTAATCTGTGCAGATAACATTGTTGTATTTTTTAACAAGATTCCAGCGTTTGATCGCCTGAGAAGACTATTTCATTCCAAGATTTAATCCCCTCTCCTCCTCGCTCTCTGCTGTCATCTTTGATACTCATCACCACAATCACATGACAGATGGTCTTTTCTCAACCTTATAATTATATTTCCAGGTTCACATTTGGAATTCATCACAATAATGCATGTTGTGTGCATCATCCTCACAAAGGTTGGTGTATTATTAGCTTTTTTTTTGTACTGTCTATAAATTAGTAATCCATCGGCATGAGCATAATGAGATCACAAAGTCATTGGGGATTTCAATTTGTATTTCCATACATTTGTTACACAGCATTATTTATTCATGGAGGTATATGCATAAAGTAACTTAGCTTGTTATCTACAGAATTCCAGGTTTAAAAAAAAAAGAAAAAAATCATCAATAATTCATCCAGTGACGATGATTGGACACTACAATGAACTTCCTCCTATACTGGAAAAGCCGTTTTAAAGACGACAGCTAAGAAATGACTGTTAACAAAATACAGCAGAGTTATAATGAAGCTCGAATTTGGGTCAGCTTTAGCACTACTGGCACTGATAAAACTGGATAATTGCAGGAAGGGCCCAATGACACTCTGCCTAGAAGTGCACCAACTTGCTCTGCAGCAGAGGTAAACATTTGCTAATAGGTGGAACATTGTGCCCTTCATATTATGTAATCTAAGTGCCACACCCAGTAAATCATTCACCAGAGTACTCACAGACCGGGCACAATGAACAACTGTGTCTTCTCCAGTGTCTCCTGCTACCTTTTTGTATAGTACAAGGAAGCTTTGTTTTTTCATTTTTACCTGTTAATGTTTATATAAAATGATACTGTAACATGAAATGTCAGCTATCAGCTAAACCTTGTGCATATGCTTAGGCTACGGATTTACTTGGAAATGCTTTATCCTGTAAAAGAAAGATCTCCTTAAGATTACTTAACTTAGAAATTGCACGTGAATGGGAGCGTCTGATTCCCTTTAATTAGCTTACTCAAGGACATTTCATAATCAAGTCAATTTCTTGTTTGTGGGTCATTATTGTATTCAGACAGTTATAGGCTGTGCCAGTATCACCTCACTCCTCCCTTTCACGCCCTTGTGCTGACTTTGACAGGATTACTGTCTGTATGGTGCAACAACCTGCGAGCTAAAGCTACGCCCAACGCGCTCGAGAGTTGCTCTGGAATGTGTTTGCACAGATAATTACTGTGTGATTTGGAAAACCAGGAGAAGACAGTCAACAAGCATTTCATTTGAAATTAACCACTTTGGATGTGAAACGTGTACTGAAAAAAGTATTTTTGTCTTTTTTTTTTAATGTTATTTATTTTTCTTTCTTTAAAAAATATATACAAAAATTAAAATTTAGCTAACCTTGAAAAATTACTCAAACAAATATTTATGGTGAGAAAAGACTATCAACAATACCATCAAATTACCCATACTTATCAATCACACACCCTCCACTTCACTTATAGAACAACTACCATCACGAAAAACCAGCCTCTGCAACCCTCTGAAAGGATAAGCAGGTACAGCTGATGTATGGAGGGTTAAAAAACAACAACTCTAAAGGCAAGCAATACATCATACACAACACAAACTATGTACAACTCACTGCATATGCATAGTTTTCAGTGCAAAAGACTTTTACCAAAAAAGCGGGGTTGGGGGGGGGGGCGTACAACAATAAGCAATAGCAGAGCAGTGCGCACACATTGACGCCACCTGCTTGTTCTTTTCAGGGGCAAACCAAGCATTCAGATCCCAGGCCTCTCTACATCCTGTCCTGTAGAAAATAAACACCCTTATTTCTGGGCTTCATTGTTCATGTCTTATTGCAGACTTCTGCCAGACTTTTGAACTTTGGTCCGAGAGTGTTTATGAAGTCAAGGTTATCATTGTCTCCGTAGTCACTGCAGCATCCCACAGAACCGGCCTGAGAGCCTGCCCCCTCGTACCCGTAGGAGTGTATGATGTCTTCAGCGTACCGTCCGTCGTCCTCCCTTCCCAGATAGGGCAGTTTCTGCAAGACAGGGAGGAAGGGGAGAGGAAGCGAGTTATTACCTGACGTTGCTATGAGCGGGCTCAATACAACACCATGTGATAGCACAAAGCAAGGATATGAGTGGCAGTCTGATATTACACTGAAAACAAACACCTCGCCAACAAGTTAGAAAAAACAATATGTCTCACAAAGAAGTTGAGAAATATTAAAGTGTACCGAGGATACTATCATGGCTTAGAGAACATGATTATATTACACATGAGGCTTTCCTAAGCTCTTACAGACAACAGTTATTAAACCTCAGAGAAAAAAGTGTACACATGAAGACATACTTCATTTCTACCACTTTTTCTGCCAGCTTCAAATCTAAGACATCTTTTTTTGTCCTATTAAATACATTAAAAACAACAAGAGAACTAATTGAAATAACTATAAAGCAACTTTACCTGTTGAAGGTAGCGTCCATTTGTTTGCCAGGTTTGAAGAAGAGATGAGTCCTGGGCGACGAACCTGTTGTCAAAGCCCACACCACTACCAAGCAACTGACCCCCGTTGTGCTGTGAGCCATACTGGCTATCATACTGGCCAGAATAAAACTCGTTTGTTTTGACACCGGACGTATACATCCCAATGTCTTGTGTGCTCATGCCTCCCATGTTGCTGTTGCTAGTGGTCCCCTGCCATCCTGCATTCAGCCCCTTGACTGAGCCCTTCACTGCAGCATCGTTAACAAAGGTTGGAACATTAATGAGACTTGCATCCTGTAGAGCAAAAACAAAAAAGAACAATCAAGCACTGCAAAAACATGATGAAAATAATAAATAATAATAATAAAAATATATTTTTAATATGCTAAGATATGAGCCAAGGCACTGTTTTCATTATTATGTCCTCACCACTTCCTCCCCTGGGGCCTCAGTGTTTGATTTAAGCAGGATTCCTCCGCTATCTCCCACATCCTCAAGCTCCATCTTCTCTCTCTTTGTCGCACAGAAGAAGGCGAGGAGTAGGCCTGTGACAACAATGCAACAATATCAGAAATTAGTGCATACAACAAGTGTATTTATGATACACAGCTCTGCAGGTTTGGAGAGGAGCATCATCCGAGTTAGCATAAAGGCATTATACAATGTATAATACTACATCTGTACCTAATACACAATGCATAATTCAGCGACAAAACCTCTTACTTTCTATCACTCTTCTTGAGCTTTTACACATGCATGAGGTCAAAATTCCTGTTTCTTATCTACACAATTCTGCTTGCAAAAAATATACTGTAACAGTGGGGGTACTCACAGAGCAGAAGGAGGAGGGCCAGCGGCAACAGCAGAGTCAGTATAGCCAGTGGCCCAAATGACACAGAGCTCTGCTTGGCCAAGCAGACGCCATTCTTGCACTGACAAATCCTTACTTTGGCTATCTGTGTTTCGCCAAAGCCCTGCAGATCTTTAACCTCCACAGGAACATTGTGTATCCCTGTAGGAAGGTCTTTCAGGTGCTTCAAAGTAGCTGCTGTGTCTAAGGAGGAAAAACATGTGTTCAAATTCTGAGGAGATTTCAGTTGTCCAAGAAATAACAATGCTTTGCAAAACACGTTAAACTTGAGTAAGCAATACAATATAAAAACATAAGAGTATGCAATATTCCATCGTAGTGCTTCAAAATCTGTCTTACAAATCAACATGTACCTTTCATGTCCCTAGCACATACCAGGTAGACACATACAGATAAAATGACTGGCAACAATTATTGTCCAAAATAAGATTATCATATAAATATATCCTATCAATACATTTGTTGCCCATAAGATTTATGTAAACAGCACTTAAGATACAGTGTCAGCATTGGACACAGGTTAGTTATTCAATTGCAAATGTCTCTCAGGATATCATTACTAACTCAAGAATTTTCATGTTTGTATTCCTCTAAGAAATAGAGGCCATTAAACATTCTCCAATGCTGGAAAGAAACATATTAAGAAGTACCATTTCTAAGAAGAAAATCAAGAAACCTGTACTGTGCAGGAATTTTTTCCATTGTCTGGAACTTCACTTTACCTCATCATTTCAGGGTATATCATGTAGTTTTTGTCCTGTATTATCATTTGAAAGATGTATTTACAGACCATAAACAAAGCTGTTTAAATATGATAAATTCTTGTAGTTAACTGCCCAACTGCATTAAAAGACCTACAAGCTACGACATAAAAAGAGTACTTAGATGTGTCAGCATAAATAATAAAGATCCATTAATGTTAAATGTTTCAAAACTAACTGGAGTAAGTCAACACTACGTACATTTTGATGATGATATTTCCTTATTTTAGTAAAGTAGGATTTTAAAAACAGGACTTTAAGTTGAAATAAAGATGGTTTAAAGTTGTGTTTTGCTTTATTCACTTCAATAAATCATGTGAATTATTTTCCTACCACTGCTAATATTGGTAGCAGCATCAAAATCATATCAGTCAGGCCTGCTGCTGGGTTTGTTTGCTTGCCAAGAAATACATCTGTTGCAAGTTTCATTGAGTTAATAAAAAAAAAACATGTTTGTGAGACTGTGAACTCATAACTAGAAGCCTGATTCTCCTATAAAAATGATTCTACTAAACTACATGCACATATAGAGCAAATAGGTACCTACCATTATATCGTGTCAAATGCCATTTGCCGTCACTATTTTGTGGCAAACTAAAGGTGAAGGGGGAAGAAAAGGGGGGCTGGTCTTTGTCTTCAGCCGTAACCAGCACGGAGCCCATCTCTCCCTCCTTCTCACACAACACCAGCTCGCCAGTGGGGAGTGTCGGCTTGTTGTCGTTGTCATCTTCCACCACAATGATAACTTTTCCTGTGCCTTTCTTGTTGCCTGAAACACATTAGAATTTCATTAGTATTTCTGTTGAAAAACATGAGGGCAAGCCAAAATTCAAATGCTGACAGGATTTTTGGGAGAGGATCCCAAAGTTCACTGTAATACCACAGAACTGTGAGTCATTTCCAATGACTAGTCGCATCACATCTCGTCAACAGGTGTTCTCAGGTTAAGACAAAGCCGGGGGAAGTTTGTTCAGACAGATACTGGTGAGGGTGGGGCTGGACTTCTTAATGACATTTGGCTCCGGTATCAATGCCATCAAATGGTTTGAGGTTAAATGACAAGTACTTTAAGGCGTCTTTTACGGTATGACATGCAGACGAGACACTTTTTCAAACCACAACTTCCTTTGTAACGACATGATGAATAATTTGCCTAACCCAACAGAGCCAGCCAGTTTTTAAACAGGTTGGAAATGTGAGCGAAGAACCCCGACTCTGTGTCAAAGCCTGTGATTTATGATTCAGTGATGTTGCAATAAGGTTCAGCCAAGTTATGGAAGCATTGGAGATACAATTTTATTATACCTCTTTTGTGATATAACTAACCCTCTTGATTTCTGCCTGTTTGCTCAAAGAGGAAATAGAAAAGAGAAGTGCAGCATTAACAACAAGCTACTTACTAGCATCAACAGCTGTGACCATGATGCTGTATTCTCCATTCTTAACAAAGTGTGATTCTCTGTCAATGGTGTTTGCAACTCTCAGCTCCCCGTTATCTTTGTTCATAGTGATCCAGGAGGCGGGATCTGCACCTTTGAAGTACCTGAGAAATAATGAGACAAATGCTTGTGTATTAGTATAACATCCCTGGATTTTGCAGTGAAAGTCTGCCCTCTAGTGTTTAAGAGGAGTAACAGAAACTTATGTTGGGGATTTTCTAAACAACACATTTCTTTTAGTCTAATGTAAATAAGATTGTTTACTTAATGCCGTTGCTGCTCTTGGTCTCTGGATCCAATGCTGTGTAAGTTCCTATCAGTGTGCCGTTTGGTGTGTTCTCTTTGACATTGTAGCGGACTGTAGGAGCTGTGAATTCTGGGCCCTCATCGACATTTTTGACCGCTACATTCACAGGGATGCTCTGCCACGTAGCCGTGGTGCCTTGTAGGTCAGGTACATTACGTGCCATAATCTCAAGATCAACTTTTGGAGACTTTTCATAATCCAAGGGCTGTAACAACAGGAAGAGAGTTCATTGTAAATACAAGTCTTTTGTCAGTGCTGTGTTAAGTTTCCATTATAACAAAGTCTCTATATCATATTTAAAAGTAATATTATTTCTTCTTTATTCTAATAATGATAATAACGTGGAGTCTTACCTTTGTGACAAACAAAAGGCCTTCATTTGTTTTGGGGTCGGTGTCAATTCTGAAGTTGCCCTTCTCGTTTCCTTTAGTGATGAGGAATTTTGAAATCCAGTTTGGTGTGTTAACTAAATCCTTATCTTCCACGGGAATTCGAAGGATAAGTTTTTCACTTTCATTCTCTGTGACACTGGCTGGATACTGAAAGAAGGGGTGGGGGGGGAAAGTTCTTCACTTACAAGACAGCAACATTTTTAATTTAAACAGTTTAAAAAAAAACCCACTGCTTTACAGTGTCTATATTTTTTGTAAACTATGCAGTTTAAATGTGATTGTCACAAATCATTAAGATATTATCTGAAGCGCATCATTGCACATCACTTACGGAGGATTTAGTAAAAGTTGGTGGGTTGTCGTTGACATCAGTCAGAGAAATTGTTGCTGTTCCTGTGGTGGATAGACCATTGTCTGCACCGTTCATATCTTGAATCTTTACTATCACTTTGTACTTGTCCTTCACCTAAAGATTAAGTATGACAAAAGAAAACAACATTTAAAACCAGGATAGTGCATTTGTATCATCCATTTTCAATTTTTTCACGTTGGAGTAAAATATGAATATATTAGTGCTCACCTCTCTGTTCAGGGTGTTAGTTTTTGTGGTGATGACGCCTGACACTGGGTTGATGGCAAACTGGTCTAAGTCAGTCAAGAGAGTGTATTTGATTTTGACGTGAAGGGTTCTTTCTTGGTCTCTGTCCGTAGCATTCACCATCCCCACAATTGAACCTGTGGTGTCATTGAGTTAATTATACTCCACCTTGAAGTCACATTCTGTAAAATGACAGGTTTGTATTTCATATTCCTTACCTATTTTGCTTTTCTCTGGCACAGTGAAGTCCAGACGGTCTTTGAATTCTGGAGCATTGTCATTCACATCATCAACGAGTATTTCGATGTCTAAAGGAAAGTCTGTCTCTTGATTTGTGAATCTGTTGAAAACTCTGGTCGTTATCTGTGAAGAATGGCGTCGAGTTAACAAGGTTGACGCAAAGAAAATGCAAAGTATATCAAATGAAGATTCACAGTCAGATTGTGAATTAAAATATATAAGGTTATCTTCACTTTAATATCAAATTCTAGCAGTCAAAGAAACAAAATGAACAGTATGGCCTCACACTTATTCCAAAACTTAATATTTTAATCATCTAAAGATTTGGCTTTCAACTTTTGATTTATATTTCTTAGTTTTATGTGAAAGAACATACAATTAAATATTAAAAATGCAAAATAACAAGAGTCTTTTAAATTATTTGGAACGTTAGTCTATTGTTTATTCCAGGCTCATTTCACACTTACCACAAACTTTGGGTACATCTCACGATCCACTTTCTTGTGCACAGACAACATCCCAGTGTTCGGATTAAGAGAGAACACTCCCACTGGAGGCAGATCCACACCTGGTCCAGTGAAGGTGTAGTACACTTGCTGATCAGATGCCGAGTCTGACACAATCTAGAACAAAAACACAAATCATTTTGGCTTTTCGAGTCAAGGAAACACTTTGGAAACAGGTCAAAGAGGACAAAAATGAGAGGCACATTCCAAAAGGCGACCTCAAAATGCAGGTGAGATCAAAGCACAGGAATTAATCATCGCGAAAGTCAGCCAAAACTCCTCTAAGAACAAGGTGTGTCTGGGTGTGGGAATAAAATAATCTGGGGGGGGAAAAGCTTGCAAGTACAGCAAAGGGGGAAAGGAAGAGAAGTCGAGGATTTAAATCGTGAATAAAGCTATGAAGAATTATTAGTCATTTAGTGTAATGCTTATTACATAAAATGCAATGTCAGAGAAGCTTTTATTGTATATATTAGGATTACCTTTTCAATCTCTTTAGGATAAGGGCCATCATCATTCTCCAATATGTTGAAGGGAGGTGGGCTCCAACGCCTTTTGAAGCGCCTCAGAAAGACTTGGTCTGTCTGCTGTAACATGCAGGAAAATCCATCAAAAGTCTGACCTTCATATCCCTGCCATTAACGCAAACAATCTTGTTTAAGCTTACCTTCTTTCCTTGCATTGTACTGTCTAAAAGGCGCACTGCAACCATTCTTTGCTGGCCACTGTTGTCTTCAACATACACATAAAATATGCGCCCTGCTGTGGCTACTGACAGAGTAGCTGCAGCTTCGACTGTACCATTACTGTATATTCTCAAACTTTGATCGTATACAGTGAGCTGTATTGACTTGGAGTCGCAGTCGGGAAATTCCACTGAGAATAGAGAGAGCGAAAGGTGTAATATGGTTACATAACAAAGACCATGGCATATTGGAAACAGTTTAAGATGTAATGGAAGAAGAAACTGTTGGGTAAAAAAAAAAAAAAAAGTTAATGAGGAAATAATTGGTATATTAGCCTACCTGTTGTGATATATTGCCCAGCCGAAATGGTGTGTGGCACGTACACGTCCAGAGTGCTCGGGATGTAACACGACTCCACACCGGACAGGATCTGAAGTAGGAAATCAACCTCCGAGTGAGTTTTAAATATCGAATAAAAGGGCTGTTCATTTAAAGAAATAGGCCCCTTTAATATTAAATAGTTACATTATCCTCCTCAGTACTAATGGGAAATACAATTAAAGTCTAGTGTTACATTTGAAGCGCCAAAGAGTTTTCTTTGAGTAGCCTCCAATGCATACACAGGGAAAGTGGAAGCACTTACCAACACCAGGAATATGTTGAAAATTAAAACATTCGCCATTTTTGGAAACCCTTTGGCGGCCTTTGAAGTGCCCCGCGCGAGGAAACTGTACTCCAGCGAAAAGTTTGACGTCCGGTTAGTGACAGGAGATTGATTAGTGTCGCCGTAGAAAAAAAAAAGTTTCAACTGAAGGTACTCGTCTCTTCGACCACTCGCGCTGTCAGGAGGACTTTATTCTGAGTGTCAGTCGCCACCGACAGTGAGTCAATAAAAAGAAGACACACCTTTACTGCCCCACCCAGCCTGTGAACCTCCCTGGGAAGGCGAAGCACCTTCAGGGCAGAGCTCACTGCGTATTGTGTGTTGCGTTCGTGCTGAACAAGTACATTCCTACATGTTGGTAAATATGTGTCGTATCCGCCAGCAGGGGGAGCATTCTTCCTGCTAATTTAATCATTTTCAGACAGTTGCAAAGTCCTAAAACAAAGCTTGACACCATATAATTTTCCTTGGAAGACACATTGTTGTACCATCTGAGATTTAACGGCCTATAAAAGCATAAATATGTGAATATTTCTGCTGACTGTTGTTGTGTTGTTTTTTTTTGCATCTGTCCATCCATTAGATAGTCACTTGTTTGTCACTCTTTTTCAAAAGTATCTTTCTGAGAAGCCTCTCCCAAACGACCAATGACCCCTGCCTGCTCCTCCCTCTCTCCTCTGCGGCTTCACTGAAGCATTCTGCTCAGAGGAACAGAATCGGGCTCCTCACTTAACGCCACAGGAATGTGTGCTGAATAGAGCCTGGTTGTGGGGGAGGCTCTGCTCCCACAGCGAAGCATTCACTATCTCTATAAAATACTGATAAAGAAAAAGTAAGAGCTGTCAGAGCCACTAACTCTTGGCCTCTGTCCGTTAGCACATGACGTCCAGTTTGGAACGACTGCAGTGGAGTAGATGTTGTTTATACATTGATAGGAAGTCAGCCTGCAAACAGGAAAGGTGCAAAATGTCAGGAAGACCGAGCTGCTGTGAGTCAAGGGTGTGGGCATAATGAAAAGTCTTGGGGCTGGGAGTCTTAACAGGGAATTAACTGTCACTCCCAAGATGAAATATTAAAAAAATATCTATTAGGATTCATTTTTGGACCTAGTGCATATAGGTTTGAACAGATAAGCCTATAGGTTCCTATTTATTCTCATGGTGACACTAAGTCTGACTTTACCCTCCCACACTGTCCATTTATTGTGGTTATAGAAGTTACAACAGGTGTTTTAGTCATTGAAAATAACCAAAGCTTTTCTTCATAACTTTCCTGCTGACTGGTAACAATTGGAGAAAGTCAGAGGTGAGTAATTTCTCAGGAAGACTCTTGACACGACGTTTTGTCCCGCAAAGAATATTTTTTGTTGTGAAATCAAAACAAATGTCTATGCAAATTGGCTGCATGACGACAGCGTCCCCTTTCTGATGCCAGGAAGCGCCGCAGGGCTCGTGACAGATGTTTTCAGACAGCACATTAACAGTGCGACAGGGGACACTTCCCGTTGTTCACTTTGTGACGGTGACATGTACAACCTGGGGGCTTAGAAAGTTTTTTGAGTGTCCCCAATTCAACTACTCCACCCTCCTCTCCACTCCCGTTGAACAAGTGCCAGCGAAGGAGGCAGGGAGGGGCATTCACGTCATGTGTGAGGGCTCGTATTCGGGTGAGACAAATTGCTCACTGGTGTCTGTTTAGAAAAATCTTGTGACTAATAGCTATGTGATTATTAGTGTGTGTAATCTTTCGACACAGGGCATACAGTACTGAGATGCATGATACCAAACATTGTGAAGTACTTCAATTACCAGGTTTGTTTATGGTTTTGGTTGGCACTTCTACCTGGAACACTCAACCACAAAAAGTCCAGCAATAAATATGTAATTTTCAATATTTACATACGGCCAATTTAATTTCCATTCTTGCATATCATTTTTTCTTGACACAACTCTATGGCTATTATTTCCCTTTTTGAATTCTACTGCAGTATAGTGAGAGGAGTTTATCTTTATTGATAAAATAAAGTGGACAAGACATCGGATGCACCTCTCGATATTTCACAATCACATTTGACGTCATTCCAAACCACAGGTTCCAGAAACAGCCGTAAAGTTGTTGAAACTCAAATAAAGAGATCAAACTAAACCAGCCATTATAACCCTCATGAAGGTGAATGAGCTGCTTGTTATATTGAAGGAACTAGTTTAGGAACTTCAATAAAAAAAAAATGAGTAGGCACAATTCAGTCTGGACCTTGATTGTCTTTATTATTCTCTTGATGGAGCTCTCACCTTGTCTTGAAGTGGATATACTGTACTGGTGCATGACTACTGGTCCTCTATTTATTTGTTGGTCAAAATAGCCCTTGTGTTCTTACCAGTACACAGAGCAGTATTGACACAACTGATGCATCCTACAAAAGCTGTTTGGTCACTTAAACTGGACAGAAATTTGACACACCCAGCTCAGGTAACATGCCTATTGCCTAGTAACAAGCTCGCTCTGCTGCACTTCCAGAATGTACCAAACACTCAGCCTGTGCTGGTCCAGACACATCAGTAAAAGTGTTAGTTTCTGCAGTTCTGGTGTATTAATCATTTCTGGAGTGTCACATATCATCTTAGTCCATCATAATGTGTCATCAAAACCACCCATTCACCTTTGTGCTGCTGTTAGATACTGATATCACCTATGAACAATAATTGATTACTTTAATAGGAATCCCTCTCACTGGGAGGGAAAACACGCACAAGAATAGCAGAAATGGGATGAATTATTAGATATACTGACAAATAAAGCCATCAAACTTCCTTTAAACAAACGAATAGCCTCATCAGAAGAGATAAAACTGATACTGTACTGCCATGCTGACACCTCTGGACACTGGGAGTAAAAGTTGTTGGTTACTTGGCAACACAAACCTTGCTCTCTGCCAATATAGACCTCTTTCTCTGTTGAACTAACTCTCAATGCCTTCATGCACACGAACACACGAACACACACCAAACACACTCACACAGTCGAGTGTGCAGCTGAATGTTCAGCAGCTGTGTTTCTGAGTCGTGATGAACCAAGAAACTGGAATTTGGAGTGAACGTGTAATGTTTTACAGGTGAGTGAGAAAGATGATCCAAAGGGACTCCAATAGCCTACATATTTTTTATTTTGTTTTACTGTTTAACAAAATCATAGATACACATTTAACTTTACCCAATATTCAAAAGTTAATTCATTTATATGTCATAATGTTTATTAAACTGTAATGCATAAACCACAAAACAAAATACCAGTTCACATATTTGCACCCATAGACTCCCAATAAAATAATGTCAATGTGGTTTTCCTATTTTTTGGTGGTAGTTTAGAGTAATTTCCCCCCTCTGTCTAGTCTACCTTTTTTGTTCCTCCTAAGAGACAATAGGCAGCTGAAGACAAGTATTACAGCTATGCATCACAGGACAGAATGCCTCCCCTCTCCGCCTGTTATCAGCAGTCGCCTGTTAGCAATCAGAGGGAGGAACCGCCTAGTGCTGTAAAAGTCCCTACCCCGCCATAGGGTCAAAGTCTGTACGAAACCAACGGAGGACTCCAGTTAGTGTCCAGTTAGTGTAACTTCAAGCGATTTCACTCCAACTTAAGGATTAACTCCAATTTAAGGATTGACTATTTTATTTTATTTCAAGCCAGTATGACGCCACTGCAGAAAGGCTGCCTTTTTATTCTCCTCGCGTCCTTTATAACGGTAAGTAAACATCTCCGCTTCTTACCGATGTAGTCTACTTTAGTGGTTGTATTGTGAAGTATGTTAAACAGGTGTGGCTCTTCCCTGGTGGGCTATCAAGCCCAGAGGTGCTTTTTTTGGGGGGGGTTAAGTTAAAGTTGAACCGCAGTAAGCCAGGCAACGGAATAAAAAGTTAATGCGCAGTCTCTGTTTACATGGACACTCATGTATTGTACTGAAAGGTCACGGAACAACTCTTTCTTTATGTCGTCTTCATCAAAGCAGCTATTCCTAATTGTTTCCCGGATTAGCGGATGTTGGAAAAAAAAAACTTAAGAGGCACGGAATCAAATTTGAGGTTACTGAAGAAATGTCCAATTGTGTTGTTTAAAATATAGTAACACAAAAAGCTGAAGAATACACTGCATTTATCATTATTTTTGTATTTTTTAATATTACAGGGCGTGTTCATTTATTTAATAACGACTATAAAACACTGAATTTACTCCATGAACACATTTATAATGAAATAACCCTTAGATTCTCAATGTGTCAAACTCCTCATTACACAAAGGAAATGAGCAAAAACAATGCATTTTGTTTGTAAGGCAGGAGCAACAACATGCTGGATAACGTTGTTCTTGTTACTGATTGAAATGTTCTCTTCCTCTTTGTTTATTTGCAGCTTGTTTTTGTGAGCGTAGAAGGACATGGGTTCAACAGACAGAAGAGAGAGTGGATCATCGCTCCCAGAAAGCTGAAGGAGAACCATGATTACACTGGACTTGAGAGCATTGCCAGAGTGTGTACTTTTCTGATTTAACTTCACACCCCACTTCATTAAGAACACTATAAGACAGATTTTAAGTAGGTGCAAAAATGTTTTAGTCCTTTCAGTAATTGCGTCATATTGAGGAGGGACTGCCTTTACTTGGAACAGCAGCACAGACTGGAACGTTCACATCCTGAAATTAGTTAGTTGAGACACTAGGCTACGTGACAGTACTTCATTGTTCTTATGCCGAGGCATGACATCTGTGTTTTTTGTTCGTTATCTAGAAGCATAGCGCATATCAGTTTAGGTATGTAGGATCCAACCCATGCTATTGGCTTTGATAGAAACTAAGCAAAGAGAGAGTTTTCTATAAACTGATGTATCTGCATTTCAGCCTACTATATCAGGTCGCATGTTTCCATTCACATGATCAGAAAAAAATATTTGATCCTAGGCCTGGCACAATAATGTTAAAAAATAAAAAATGTAAACTTACATTAAATATTCTATTTTGCACTTTTCTAAAGTCTTAGACATCTGATTTAGTATTATATTTAGTGTTTTTCATCTATTTTTCAGATCCGCTCTGATAAGGAGAACTTTACAGAAATAAGGTATTATCTCACTGGACCTGGTGTTGACCAGCCCCCTGAAGGTGTCTTTCAGGTTGACCATAAGACTGGTTATGTAAAAATCTTTTCCATCCTGGACCGAGAACAGATCCCTTTCTATTACGTAAGAACTGACACACATTTTCTATTTGAAACATCTTTATGGTATTCAGCACTGGGGGGAAATTAAGGGGCCACTGGTTCAGCTATTTCCTGGTCATTTCCAGGTTTGTGTTTCAACAAAATGAAATTTTTTTCTTTCACCCAACTTCCAAATAAAATATTATAATTGAGGAAATTTTATTTGCAGAAAATGGCAACTGGTTAAGATTGTGTTAAATTCACCTTTCCTGTGTTAAAATTCAGCAGACTCTAGAACAGAATGGCATCCATGAATGTATAGATGCTGATTTACAGGAAATGTTGAGTGGTCTCTTAATTTCTTCAGGAGCTGTATATCGTATGAGGTTAAACACTTGAGAGCAATGTTAAGATTGATGATATGTCTCTCTGTAGTTAAAAGGCGTGGCAAAATATATGGACGGGACTCTAGCTGAAAAGGATATTGACCTCAAAATTACGGTTGTGGATGAGAATGACTGCCCACCAATAATTGCAGCACAGCAAGTTGGATCTGTTAAGGAATCAAGTGCAGCAGGTACTTCCGGCTCCTAGTTTTCTTGTAAACTTGTCACTTTTTTTTTTTTAATCAATAAATTGGTGTATTATCTTAATTTGCTCTGGTGATTTTTCCAGGTACTGTTGTGATGAAAGTGATAGTTACTGATGCTGATGAAGAGAACTCAATAAACTCTAGGATCAGCTACAGTATCGTGGGGCAGAGTAACACGGCCGGGATGTTCTTCATGAACTCTCAGACTGGAGAGGTCATGGTTCGACAGAACACTCTCGACAGGGAGGTGAGTGTCACTACTACTTATTTTTGTTGGAAAAACCTTCTACAGCAGTAAGATCATTTTGGACAGTAATCACACTGAATACATATTCCATTCAGTCTTACTTTGCTGACTAGGAACTTTCACAACATTGGCTGTTAGTTTATGGACAAGTCTAATGAAAATCCTCTCATTTTGTAAACATTCTTTCTTCACCGTTAACAGCATTCCCAGTCAATGACCAAGAAACATGTTTTTAGCAGAAACCACAGAACTACATTGTATCAATCACTGCATTGTATCTATAATCTGTTTTCTCAGAACAAGATTCATATAGGTTGACCATAAGTGCCTCAGACCTGAATGGCCTACCAGGAGGAAACACAGGAACAGGAGAAATCGAGATCAGAATTCTAGACATAAACGACAACCTCCCGACCCTGGAAAAAGAATCGGTAAGTGTGACACAAATACACCAAACAAAACTTCTCCTTTAAAAAAAGAAAAAAGATTTGAGAAAGTAGTTTTAAAGCAACGTTTGCTGTACTTTTTACCTGCAGTATGAAGGAAGTGTGGAGGAGAACACAATCAATGTTGAAGTGATGAGGATCAAAGCCCTGGACATGGATCTGATTTACTCTGAAAACTGGCTGGCTGTCTTTGAAATCATCTCAGGGAATGAAGGCGGCTACTTCAGCATCTCTACTGATTCTAAGACCAATGAGGGAATTATCATGATCAACAAGGTAAAACTGAATAATAAACAGTCAAATGAATGGATATGATTTATTGAACACTTTGAAGGCTAATGTCATCTCCATATCCTACATCTACAGGCTTTGGACTACGAGGAAATAAAGACACTCAACTTGAGGGTGGCGGTTTCCAACAAAGCAGCATATAATTTTGGCAGCAGCTCCGTATCAGGAGGGTCAACAACCTCTAAAAACTACCCTATTAAAATAAATGTGGTCAATCAGAAGGAAGGCCCCCGTTTCCAACCGAGTGTCAAAGTGGTGACAATTTCAGAGGACCGCACATCTGTGTCCCTCAACCAAGTCATCACCACATATGCTGCTATTGACAGCGACACACTACTAACAGCCACCAACGTAAGGTACGGCCACTAATGTTATTTAAAAAAATATATATACAAACGGCTCTTTTTGTTTTTGATTAAATGTATGTATAATGTATTAACAAGTACGGCTTATTTTTGATTTTCATAACAACAGATATGCCAAGATCCGCGATGATGACAACTGGTTGATTATTGATTCAAAGACCGCTGATATCAGGCTGAACAAACTGCCAGACAGAGAGTCAAAGTTCTTGATCAATGGAACATATTATGCAAAAATTATATGCATCACTACAGGTGAGTTCTGGAAATATTAGAGTTATTATTCTCCTGGTCCAGATTAGTTAAATATTGATCTCTCTTTGGTCCGGCTTTCAGACAGCACCTCAAAGACGGCCACTGGGACAATAGCCATCCAGGTGGAGGATTTTAATGATCACTGTCCCAAACTGACCACTACAACTCACACCATGTGCCTCGAGGATAATGTCATCTACGTCTCAGCCGTAGATGAAGATGAGTTCCCCAATTCAGCACCGTTTGATTTTACTGTGATTCATGAGAGCAGCAAGGGGAAATGGAATGTTGAGCCTCTTAATGGTAAGATTACTCAAAAGTGTTTTTTTCAAAGAGGTTTACATTAAAGAGGCAGATTTAGACGAATTAAGAGTGAATAGTTTTTTAAACAGCTAGATGTATCTCAGTTTTTTGTCCATTTTAATGCCTCAAATGACAAATTTGTATGTCATAAATCCTTTGCTGATTCTGTCCTGTACACCTGTGTGTAGTATATTTCTTGAGAATTCCCCTTCTTTTCCCTCTTCACTGGCTTAGGCACTACTACTGAGCCAAGAAACAATAGCCTACAGGTGAAAAGATAAACAAACGCTCTTTCACCCAGCATGCTGTAAATCACCCTGTTTTAACAGCAATGACGGATGATAAAAATAACAATAGACATTGTCAGTTGTCGAGTCACAGGCACATCAGTTTAGCCTGTTTAGTTGGCACTTAAAAACTCCTTACAGTAGGTTTAAGTCCCATACTTTGTATCTTTTTAAATTGTTAATTTTATTCGCTGCAGATGGTACAAAATCAGTATGAATAACACAAAACTGTTTGAATTATTAGAGTCTCTGCAAACTTACTTCATTCAATCTGGTGTTCCTGTTTAATTTTGCGTTAACTATCATTCAGTTTTATCAGCCTTATCCGTGCATTCAATTAACTGCGGTGCTTTTTTACAAGTTGTGCAACACATTTTAAAATGTGTTTCTCATCTCTTCTTCAGAAACTGCAGCCATTCTACGAGACAAAGCCAACTTGTGGCCAGGAACTTACAAAGTTGCAGTGGAGGTCAAGGACAATCAGGGAAAGTCATGCGCTGATGTTCAAGTCATGGACGTCATTGTGTGTACTTGCGCTGAAAACATTAAATTGTGCGCAGCAAGCCAAACAAAGACTTCTGGTTTTGGAGCATCAGGTGTACTGCTTCTGCTTCTTGGACTGCTGCTCCTACTGTGTGAGTAGAGTATGACCGTACACTTTATGCTTGTTTTTGTTTGTTTTATATGAATCATTAACATTCTCCAACAAGGTCGCCTAAGCAGACATGTTTTAGGAAGGAGGAACTGCAATGAATGGTGGGGATTATCTGCAGATTTTTAGAAAAGGCAGCTCATTTCTCTGGCGTGCATTGCACAATCATTAGTTACTTTTCTTGCCATGAGTTTAATCTCTCTTTTGAATGAAAGTAATTCACTTGCAGAATTTCTGAAGACATGGTGTCATATTTGTGTATTTCTTTAGTGGTGCCCCTTTTGCTGCTGTTCTGCCTGTGTGGAGGAGCAGCAGCTGCAGGAGATTTCAAGGCGATTCCATTTGATACAAAGCAACAGCTGATCTCATATCACACTGAGGGACAGGGAGAAGACAAGGTACTTTGATTAGTCCTGATAGGAAGGCCTCTTGTACAATATGTTGACTATTTTATTCAAATTTGCTGCATCTCTGACGGGATCTCGCATTTTTCTGACAGGAAGTTCCTTTTCTCACTGCCCCCGTTGAGGTTGATGGTGGCACAATAAATGTCAAGAACATCAAAACTTTAGAGGGAAAGGGGTACCTGGCAGGACTAGCTGAACTGGGAGGCGCAGCAGGTGGAGGAGCAGCCTTAGGTGGAGGTGCAGCCTTAGGTGGAGGTGCCGCCTTAGGTGGCTCCATCCTGACAACTGAGAACATGCATACGTACAACCGATACAACCAGTCCAGTGGGCAAATAGAGATGGACTTTATGGGTGGTGGGATGATGACTGGACAAGAACATCTTTACTCCAGATACAGTGCCTATGATGGGATGGCTCTTTCTGAAGGGTTTCTCGGGGAGTATTATGCTAGTGTAAGTATTTAAAGTGACAGTTTGATCCAAGTGTGATTTTGAATGTCATGTTTGTTTTAATAAATTGTTTGGTCCATTATAACAGCTAGCATTAGCTGAAACTGCTGGAGTTAAAATCAGGCTTAAAGATAATTCCTCCAGACTATATTTAACAAAGTGCAACCGTCACAGGTAACATCATGAAGTTTAATTGAACAGTGTTTGAGGACACATGAAAACTTTATCATTCTGTCAAACCTGAGCCATTATCAACAAATCGATCAGTAAATCAATCAATCAATCAGATATTCATTTTATATCTTTGTTGACTCCACACCAAATAACACCGCCCAAACCCTCATTCATACACACAAAGCAACAAATGGATATAAAACGTTGTTGTCATAAAAAAAAAGGACTCAATACTAGCAGCATTCAATAAAAATACACAAAAACAGAAACTGAAATAACTTAATCATAAATAATATCAATCTAACAACCGTTTTTAAGACAGAATTCAGAACTATTACTTGTTATGTATCCGCATGTACACAAATAATTTAAAATGACAAATAAACATAAATATTTTGACGGATGAATTAACACTATTATTATAAATCTATGTTTACATAATAAGTTGTTGTTCTTCATGTTTGCAGAAATCAAACCATGCTGCAAACCAGTCCCATGAGAAGGATGCTCTGATGATCTATGACTACGAGGGTCGGGAGTCCCTGGCAGGTTCTGTAGGTTGCTGCAGCCTACTCGAAAATGACAATGACCTTGCTTTCCTTGATGATCTTGGGCCTAAATTTAAAACCCTGGCTGAAATTTGCAAGCGTTCAACGTTGGTGACAGAGTCTGTTGATGCAGGGGTTTTTGTCTCTCCTCCCAGACCAGTGTCTCCTGTCAGGCCCTCCACCCACACCCACACTCACACAGAAACATTCAGGGATAGGGACCATGTCAACGTCAACACCCTTAACACCTCCAATGTAGCATCCGGGTCTTCCACCTTCATCCGGGAGGAGCGAATCACTGAGAATTCAGCCACAGCTCCCAGGGTTCATGTCCAGGACAAGTATGTGATTCCCAGTCAGACGATGCTCATACAGCAGCCAACCATGTACTACGCTGCTACGCCCATGTATGTTGTCGAACAGAAGCCGCAAATGGTGCTGGTGTCAGGCACCCAGCAGGCATTGGGTCATGTGGGCTCAGCTGGGCTTGGTCAGGGTCTGATGCAGGTTGGTGGTATCCAAAGTTCTCAGGGTGTGGTCCTTGTAGATAGGCAAGTAGGAATGGGAGGAGCCACAGGGCATGTAGCACAAGGCCATACTCGAGGAACAACATCCAGGTCCAGAAAGGTACTGGTGGTAGAGAGCGGGTCTTCAGGTGGTGAGCAAGCTGCACACTTAGCGCAGGGCTATATTCAGACAGGAAATGGATCTGCAGAGCACGGTATGGAGCTCAGAGGTCAAGGTATGCAGGTTAAAAGTCAGACTTTTTCATTGGGTTCTCTTGATTCTAGCGGGTCTCATGAAGACGTCCTTATGGCGGCAACACCAAAGGTTCAAGGGAGCCAGAGAGTGGTTGTGCAACGTAAGAAGGTATCAGTGACTGAGAGGAATGTTGAATCAAGTACAAGAGCGTAGTGCAACATGTGATGAGCATAGAAAAGTTGTTTTCTAGTGATAAAGCAACATATGTACGTAAGTATAAAAAAGTACACTACAGAGTTTCAAAACCAACATGTTGATAAAGATGGAAGGACTGTGATATACAGGGGCAGAAAATGGAGAGAGTCTCGTCTGAAAAAGTGCAATGCAACACATATTGTCTAGTGACTGCTTATAGAGGTTAACACATTGAAAGTTTACAGTACTAGTGAAACTTTTTAATTGGGACAAAGCAACAGATTTTTAGAGGCAGACTTCTGGAGTTACACCCCCAGCAGAAGGAAAAAAGAATGATCCTTCTGTGGTTCAAAAATGATCAGTTAGGTACCAAATGTCAGTCCTTAAAGCATTGTAATTATTTCAGGTACATAATAAGCATGGATCAAGGATGGGAAAAGCCAAAGTAAACATATACGCAATCAGTCCTTCCTACAGTGTTTATCTGCCCATCAACAGAAATAAAAAACCTCTGACTACATTTCCTAGAGATGCTGGAAAATGCAAAACACAAACAAGAAGGTAACCATGTAGTGACAAGATAAGAAGTAAGGTAGATGATTTACCAGGCTGGGGGGAAAGAAAGAGAGACTGTTCTGATTGTAACGGATAAGTACTATTATTAAACTCCTAAAATGATTCTCTTACTCTGTTAAAACCCTGTTTACTGCACTTCTTGTCCCTAATCCCAGTTTCTTCCCTTAAGTCCTGTTAAAATACATGCGTACTCTATTTATACTGAGGGTCCTTGATCTTGAAATGCCCACAATTGTTTTGCAAGTAATTGAAGCAAAGCTAGAACAACGATCTGTAGTCTACTATATTTTTCCATGTTGGTGTTGAATACTAGTATAGGTGCTTTGTGCTGTGTTTTTTTTTTTTTTTTTGTATTGAGTTGTGATTCTAAGACCCTTGGGTTGCTTTGTTTTATATTTTAGCTCTAGCTAAGCTGCCCTGCAGACTCTTAGATTGTTGAAACAAGTTAAACTGTAACTAATTAGAAGCTGTTTTATGGGTGGCCCCTGCTTCCTTGGAAACTGCTTGGAACGGAGATAAATGCTGTTTGTACTGTAAAACCAATGAAAGGGCCCCTGTGCGGAAGAACCAAAGCCAAAGCCTTGGAAAGATTTAGAGCACTGAGAAAGGATTTAACTTGTTTTTATCAGTAGACAATATAGTCAATACACACCCTTAACCAAATAAGAGCTTCAAGATAGAGAACAAGATTCTTTGCTATATTTTTGCACTCCTTTTATTGTTTCTACTCTATATTTGTTGGTTTGTAATTACTCATTTTAAATAATCCAAGTGTTAAATCCAAGTGCTGACAAAAAATGAAAATGCCGAAGATGTAAATATAGAACGATGCCCTTTTTATACCAATGTAAATAAGTTTTAATTACCAGATAAACTGCAGATACCTTGCTTTCCTTTTGTGCTTTCTTAATGCTGGTAAGACATAATGATAATTTGAGTAGGTTGATACTGATGTTCTTGTCATACATGTGTTTTTTTTTTTCAGTATGAACTGATAGCATATATTGCTTAAGAGCAGAAGGATTGTGCACTAAAATATCAGTATTTGCCATGGTAATGATAATGTTTTTTTTGTTTTGTTTTGCACCTGCTGATATAATAAAATCAAATATGAAAACACTGTCATGACCTATGAATCTAATTTTACAATTCTAACAATTTAGAGATAGAAACATGACCCACCGTCTTATTGACACAATAAATACAGTATATTGTAAACGTTTTTAAAAGGGTTAAAGGAATTAATATGGGGTTTGCATTTTTGAACTTTAAAGTGCTTGTCAAAATTCTTTACAAAAAAAACACAATAATTTAACTGCTCTGTAAAACTGTGAGGCTAAAAGTATTTTATACAGTTTAGTAAAAAATAGGAAAACTCAGTACAGGCTGCAAGGAAGTCATTTAACCATTCAAAATAGGGATCCAAAATTGATGCAGAAGAAAAAGAGACATCTATATACCGAAAAACACTGTGACTACATTATAACAGAAGTGCAATAACAGCGTTAACAGCATTCAGCTGGTTGTTAAGAGCAGCTAATGTAGCCTCCAGCTGCTTGCCAAGAGCAGAGATGAGGAGCAGACTCCAGAGGTTTTGCAAGCCTCCTTATATACCATTCCAGATTTTGTAGTTGTTGTTGAATTCTAAGCCCAACCAACGCTGACTCAAATGACATCCGCTGATTTCAGCTTCATCTGGAGCTCCCAATGGCAATACAGGTTTTTTTTTTTAACATACTCCAAGAGAGATGTACCTGGAATAGATCTGTGAAACCAGCGGGGCTGAGTTGAATTTGAAATGTTTTTATACTGCCAGCTAGATGGAGGCGAGAGGGTTGTTCACTTCTAAGTAGTCAGGCTGTTCGATCCCTGGATCCTCTATGTCTTTGTGTCCTTCAGCGTGAAACAGAACCCCAAATTGTTCCCAAAGGCAAAGCCATAGCTTGATTTTGAATTAGGTTAAACACTGATAAGCAGGCATATTTAATTCCAGCCTCTGTTATGAAATTATCTCTATGTAAGCTATTAAATGTTTAAAAAAAAACCTGATCAAAATGTATTTCAGGGGGATATGACTGAAAAAGTGTCATATAAATGTGGTCCATTTACCATTTCATTTCCATGTTTATATGGAAACCATTCAGACAAACTGACAGTAAAGTCTGCTGTGGGTTTAAAACATAAAATCTAGTCCTGACTAGAACCTACATTAAACTCCCTGCCAGTTCAAAATGTCCTTCTTCAGTGAGGTCAAAAGGACAAAGGGCTTTTAGCTTCAAGCTTTTCCAAAAAGACAGCGGCATTCCTCTGTCCATAGAACTGGCTCCTTTGTTGCTGGCTCCAAAAGATGCTTCAGGCTTCACGTAAACAAAAAAGATAAAGTAGAATATCAGGTTTCCGTGTCGGATTAGTGCACAAGTCCTCTACAATGCAGGTACAGTCCAAGAGGGGCCTAAGACTGGTTTTAGATGACCTGGACTCAGACAAAATGCCTATCTTAAATCTTTAGAACTTAAACTGAGACACAGTTCAAATACATGTTTTTTGTTTGTGTTAAATGATTATATTAATACCACAAAAGCATGAGTAAGATTTTAAATGGAGGAGGACATGTTTTATCAGTATCTCATTCAATCAGAGAGAGAGAGAGAGAGGGATGGGGGTATGTTGACTGTTCACAGGTTGAGTTGAGTCATTCTGTCAGTAGAGATTATAAGTAAGAATTTCACTGCTTACTGCAGGACTCCAATGTGTTGTTAATAATATCAACAGTAAGTAAAGGCTGCTTGATTTGAATAGTATTTCCTCAGTACAGGAGTACAAGACTGTAGTTTGTTATCTAAAGCTGTCACTGAGGTATCCATGTGGGTCAACCATGAATACAAAGTATCACTCACAGCAAGAGGGGGTTTTCTTTAGTGTCAGGGAAAGTTAACAATGAATCTTGACGCAACAAGCAAGAACTATTGTTCTCAAGACACATTTCAAGATTATAGGAAGATTGAGAAGTTGGAACTTTGTAGAGACAGCAACTACTTTGCACAGCTTATGTTTCTTATTCAGCTCCTCAGAGTAACCCTTACTATAATCTTACACTTATGTGTTCTTTTTATTTGCCAGTTTGTATTTAAGTGTCATTTATGTAGAACCAAAATCTCTGCATTAGATGTTTTTTTTTTGTAGTATTGCTATACTCGGTTTTCTAAATACATTAGTTGATGTTGCTTACCCTTTTCCTGTTTATTCCTATGCATAGTTTTTATGTTGTCATTCATTTGATGGTAATGAAAACTTTCAAAGAACTGAGCAGTTTTATACCAGTTCTTCATGTAATGGCTTGGTCCTCCACATATTATGTCATCCTATGAGCATTTACCTTTTCTTTTTCAACACAGTTGACAGTAGAGACTGTAACATTGGAAACAGCAGTAAGCATTTTTGTCTTCTGTTATTTGTTTTCCAAATGTAGAGGAGATGAGTTAATAACATTCTTTCCCTCTCTTTTTACCTTTAATGAAATACCAAAAAGACAGCTCTGCCTCAGGGCAAAAATGCTGCTCCAAATTCCCTCTCTTGGTTGAAGAAATATTGTAGGATTTGCTCATCGAGCCATCAGTCATGTCAAAACAGATGTTTTTGTTCAGCTCTCAAGTGGAAAAATTCTTGAGGTTGACAGGCGTGACTTGGGTGTGGCCCGTAGTGGAAGACATTTCAACTGTTCACACTTAGCGAGTAATTCAACAGCCAAATGTCTGTTCGCATGTCAACGTGTGCTCAAGTGTCTTGTCAGGAAGTCAAAGCATCAGCTCAAGTTGCACCAGGTATTGGTTTCAAATAGTTTGATTGTTAGTGAGAAAATATTTTCTCTGGATTTTCTGCACAGATTTACTCCTCCCTGGTTGCTGTGACTTGATTCTGTCTGATTCTTATCTGCAGAGTAACGCAATACAGCACCATTTCACAAAGCCTTACATACTTCTGCAAAACTCAAACAAATTAGAATGATTTATGTTAAGATAGAAGTTAACTTAATATACTGCAAACTGTAAGTTTATCGATCAAGTTCTTATTAAGAGTGCATAAACTGAAGTTATGCTGAACTGAGTTATGCTGGGCCATGTCAAAGATAAATGGTTATTCTTATTAACAAGACAGTGCATTCAAGCTCCTGTAATGAATATAAGCTGGTTATTAAACAAACTGAAATCATTAATGATACATCTATACAGAAACAGCTGCAAAAGCAAACCAAGCCTTCAGTTATATTATTACATAGTTATATTTGAGGCATGAAACCGCTGCCACCAGGTAGGATTCAGATAAGACCAATTTAACTGCATGCTGCAGAAACAGCCTTTGTTCACTGTTAAATAAATGCAGGATGAGATCTTTGTCAAAAAGATCAGCCAAGAAGATGTAAAGCATTGACCACAGGGGGAGCCAAGAGCAGGATGAAATAAAAGCTCATTACAGGAGCTTTAGAGGGCAAAGCTGGCAAATTTTAAAATGTTTATATTATATTGCAAAAACTTCCATTAGAAGCCCAAAAACAATGGAAAGGTAAACAAAGGATTACATATGAACACTTGTAAAACTACAAGGCCTTTAATATTGAGGAATAAAGAGTCCTGATTCATACTGCTTTGTTATAATCAATAAAAAGAGGACACAATTGTATTAACAGGACTTGATCATTTATTCAAGACTTGACAGTGAATGCTTGTTGAAGTAAATAGTACAAAACTGTACTGTATGTAGGACAAGACTGTACTTGATAGGCATGATAGGAAAACCCATTACTATCGTACTTGCATATATATAAGTTCTAACACCCCTCGTAATCTTTGTCACTATAAGCCATCTCTATATGCAATACAATTTTGGCAAAAAAAAAAAGAAAAGAAAAAGCTATATGTCATTATGAAGTGCATTCATTGCAATAAAGTTGAATATCTGCATTGCTAGCTTACTTCTTTTGATCTCACTTCACTGTCCAACAACAACTACGATTTTGGCAGACTGGTTCACTCAGTGTCATGTCGCTTTAGAATCAGTGGCGAACTTCCGGGCGGACTTCTTCCTCATCCTCCATTTCATCTTCCTCATATTCGCCAGTTTCATCAGCAGTGGCGTCCTGGTACTGCTGGTACTCGGACACCAGGTCGTTCATGTTGCTCTCGGCCTCAGTGAACTCCATCTCATCCATTCCCTCTCCGGTATACCAGTGGAGGAAGGCTTTGCGACGGAACATGGCGGTGAACTGCTCGGAGATCCTTCTGAACAGCTCCTGGATGGCTGTGCTGTTGCCGATGAAAGTGGCAGACATCTTGAGGCCACGTGGAGGGATGTCGCAAACGGCCGTCTTGACGTTGTTTGGGATCCACTCCACAAAGTAGCTGCTATTCTTGTTTTGCACACTCAACATCTGTTCATCCACTTCCTTCATCGACATTCGTCCACGGAAGATGGCTGCCACAGTCAGGTAGCGTCCGTGACGAGGGTCGCAGGCCGCCATCATGTTCTTGGCGTCAAACATTTGCTGTGTGAGCTCTGGCACTGAGAGGGCACGGTACTGCTGGCTGCCCCTGCTTGTGAGGGGAGCAAACCCGGGCAAAAAGAAATGCAAGCGTGGGAAGGGCACCATGTTCACGGCTAGTTTACGAAGGTCAGCATTGAGTTGTCCAGGGAAGCGGAGGCAGGTGGTCACCCCGCTCATGGTGGCTGATACCAGGTGGTTGAGGTCTCCATAGGTAGGTGTTGTCAGCTTCAGGGTACGGAAGCAAATATCATACAGGGCTTCGTTGTCAATGCTGAAGGTCTCATCAGTATTTTCCACCAGCTGGTGGACAGAGAGAGTGGCGTTATATGGCTCCACCACGGTGTCGGACACTTTAGGAGAAGGCATGACGCTGAAGGTGTTCATGATGCGGTCGGGGTACTCCTCACGGATCTTGCTGATCAATAGGGTACCCATTCCTGATCCTGTGCCTCCACCCAGTGAGTGGGTGAGCTGAAAGCCCTGGAGGCAGTCGCAGTTTTCGGACTCCTTCCTCACGACGTCCAGCACCGAGTCCACCAGCTCGGCTCCCTCAGTGTAGTGACCCTTGGCCCAATTGTTTCCTGCTCCACTTTGACCTGCATGATTCATGACATATTTAGAGACAGTCATCTTCTAAAATAAACGCTATCGTAATATGCACTTCCACAAAAGTGATTCACGTGATTTAAAGGTTTCTCCCGCCCACAACAGTTTGCATTCCACAAAGTTGTGAAGACTTTGTAAAGAAGATAAGGCAAATGAGTCTGCTGTAAACATATAATCAATAATGTCCAGCAATGCCTGTCCAACCCCAAGGTATCTGTACTTCTAGAGAGCATTATCACCACATTGCAGGGACCTTTTGAGGTTAAAATAAAAGGTTAAATGATTAATTGCCTTGCAGAAAACACCAGGTTGACTGATGTAAAAAAAAAAAGCAAATAATAAATCATATTTATCTTTAAAAGAATATTGTGGCCGAAATGTTACTTCACACTCAGACTTTGCATCAGCATATGGATTTCTTAAAGGTAGGTGCTTGCACATTTTAAAACGTAATCCCCCATGCTTTTAATAGCCTTTCTATTGCCTTCACTCGGGAGCAGAGATGCAGAGCATATGTTTACTCCAAAGGGGTAGTGCACAAATTTAGCCAAAATATCAACACACATAAGCATGAACAAAATCTAAATCGTAATCAAAATCTTTTATCAGAAATGACACAAAATGTTCCAAATGTTAATATTGTCATCATTAGCCTGTCATCATTAACACGTGTTCATAAGCACAACTACAAAAAGCTGGTGTGCTTTGATTTTGGGTTCACAATTGATTACATGGACTTTATAATAAAGCTTTAGGAGATGTAGGACTTTTGTGTATTTTTCTGGTGAAGGGAAAATGTGGAGTCATCCTTTCAGTAATTTCTTGGCCCCTGCATCCACACTTGGCGTGATTAGCACTGCAGCATCATCTCCTAGTGGATTTCTATTTTGCTGAGTCACCTCTACAGCTGTCTCAGTCTGACACAGGATGGAGGATACATCACAGAGAGGCTACAGAAGCTTAGTGCTGGGAATCTAAAGAACTACACATCTCTGTCAGGTAAAACTAAACTCAGCTTTACACAATAAGACACACATACATGCATTTTGTTTCTGATTAGTGACGACACTATGGTATACTGCCAACTCACCAAAGACAAAGTTATCAGGCCTGAAGAGCTGTCCAAAAGGCCCGGAGCGGACTGAGTCCATGGTTCCTGGCTCCAGGTCAACCAGAATGGCACGGGGGACAAATTTGCTGCCTTTGGAAGAGAGCAGTAGATATAAGGATAGAGAGATGTAATGGAGGGAGGGTTGGAGTAAGATATCAACAGTCTTAGTGTGCATTGATGTCAGAACATAAAAAATGACTGTATATAATTTATTTTCATATTAACTTTGCTTAATAAATATTAGATGCTGTAATGTTTTGGGCAAACACCCTTCTGTTTAAAGCATTTTATATCTATACATACATAAACATTCAATATAGACAACTATATTTACACTGGATATTTAAAGGATACTATGTGCCTTCTACTGTTTATTTCAGTACTTTGCTCCATCCTTTTGTCAGTAAACTTTGCCATCAAACAGCTGCAGCATGCTGCACTGCTTATTCCTGACCGGTGAGGCTTTCAAAGTGCTGAGCTCTGTGGAGTTCCTTCAAACAAAGACGTGATCTGCCCCTACCCTTACCTCTTTCTTCTCTCACTGTCTTGCCTTAGAAAATCTTAACGTGGCTCAATTCCTGTCAACTTTAGCTTGTCTGTTCTTTTCATTTTTAAGGCGGATTGAATTAATGTGATGTTGTTACAATCTACATGCAATGTTGACCCAGGTGACACTGATGTCTGCATGCAACATGGAAACAAGGGATCAATAAAGCCTGCTGCCAGCAAAAGAGTAGACAGTAACCTATCTGCCTAACCAGTCATTTATCCAAAGTTGATGAATGGGCACTGTTTGATCTCAATTGGGATTATGCACAGATTGAGACCTGCCCTGATTTGTCCATATTCATGATTTTAAAGTGCTAAAGTAGACAGAGCTGTAACGATACTAGCTTCATTATGTAACCATGTTTAATCCTTAGTAATGCTAAGAAATCATACAGATTAATTTTGAATGACAAACAAAAAAAAAAATTGGTTGCTGATTTTGAAACTGAGGCTGCAGTGAGCAGGGTCAGCTTTACAGAGACTGCAGATACCTGTACTCCCTTTAGACACAAAGAGAGAGAGAGAGAGAGAGAGTTTAAACAGAGAGCGAGAGAGTGGCAGAGAGAGAGAGAGAGATTTTAGCAGATTCACTGTCCTCATTTTTTTCTTAACTCATGCTGGGACCTACTTTCCTTTGCTGCTAAATTAGTGACATGATCATGCTGTTGCACCCAGACTTGTGTCCATGTAGCATAAGGTCATGCAAGGACAATGAGCAATGGTAACAACGTTTTCCTTTTTGGCAAGCTACTAAAATGCAAAGAGGTATTTGCATTTTCAAACTAAATATAGGCTATATATATATATATATCTTTTACCTGAGGCTTCATTGTAGTAGACATTTATCCTCTCCAGCTGCAGGTCACTGTCACCTTGGTAGCTACCAGAGGGATCGATGCCATGCTCATCACTTATAACCTCCCAGAACTAAGATGGGACAAATGTAATCAGGTTAAGAAACTATAGCAACCTAGCATGCTGTGAAAACAGCAGTCTCACATGTGCGTCTTGCTTTATTTTTTTTTAGTAATTGCGCATCTGCTTGGAGAGAAAATGACACGCAGCAGGGCCACATCACTGCAGCCCCTGTACCCGATTGAACCGCACCCAACAATGAAATAAACTATTAATCGATGTCTAACTTTTTTTTTTTTTAAAGATAAACATATTCAAGAGACGCAAAACTTATCATAGGCTACAGGGAGAGTGCAAATCAATCAAAGCAAGAATCCCTGTAAAATAACAATAATAAGTGTATTATTAAGCATCTTTATTCCAACTACATTTTTAATTTTCCTAAATCAAATTATGTTAATCATACCTTCGCCCCGATCTGATTTCCGCACTGCCCAGCCTGGATGTGGACGATTTCCCTCATGGTGCGCTGCGGATGCGGTCAGAAAGTGTCCTGTCTCTACTTCACCTGCGTCAGGTCTTCAGTCTATTGCGTGTGTTTCTTTAAATCAGCACTCGCTTCATTCCTAGGACGAGTGTTGAGCCGGCGAGGTAGATAAACGTGATGCTGGTTAGATGACGTTGCACGCAGCGCAGCATCCCAGCATCCCCGTCAGCCAATAGGAAAGCAGCTGTGTGATGCAGTGGAACCAGAGGACCGTGCCGCATCATCCCCCTGACATCACCCTGTCCCATGCAGAGAAATGTCTGCCTGAGGTTGTTGTATAAAGCTTAGCCAATGTTTTCCCTTCTAGAAAATGTTAAACGTTATCAGTGGTATACTGACCACTGCTATTCAGTTCTATGTGCTGATCCATTTAGCAGTGAGCTGTGTGCAAAGCATATTTAAGAGCAACTATTAGATATATTCTTTAACCACATACAGACACAGTTCTAAACGTTTTTGGTTTGAGTCTAAGACCATTTTTTCATCATTGCTATTTTGCTACTGGTTGGTTGAATTTGTTGTGATAATTTATAAACCACATATTTTTCAACCAATGGAATCATGTTTACAGATTATATAAACAGACTGGATAAATAATGGATAAGATGAACTGTAATAATCTTGGTGATCCCCAAGATGTTCAACTGGTACTTCTAATTTGCACAAACTACAATTTACAAGCAAATGTGCTTACAATTAAACTGTGTTTACAGTTCCCTAGCAAATGTTAGCATGCTAAAATGATCATGACATATGATTGTCAATATTATCTGTTATAAGCACTGGTTTTCAAACATTTTTCTATCTCTGAGTTTCCTAAATAAAATAAGGCCAACATGTAAGACTAAAAAAAACTGTAGTTACTGCAGTCTCTTGCTGACCACATGAGGCCAGATCCAAAAGTAGGTCCATTATGACCATTTTAAAATGCTCAACTTTACAGCCTGGTACAAATCACAGCTCTGCTCTTTATAACTAATTCCTTTATTTAACACAAATGTAGGTTGCTGAATATTTTTAATAACTAACTTGTTAATGGATATTAATGCTTTAGGCTATTCACAATTAAAACATAAGCAACAAGGGAATCCTTAGCACATACAGTCTGTGCTAAGCAGGTAGCATGATTATAAAAAAAATAGCTTTGTGAATTATACTGAAGAGAAGCATTTTACAGAACCAGACAACTCAGAAATGTATTTTTCTACCTCTAATTATTTCCACATATATAATTTCCTAGACCCCTGAGGATCTGTGACTTTTGGACCTTTTCTATGACGAAATGGAAAACCATTTCAATCTTGTTAGATGATTTTATAAAATCAGTCATTTTCACTTTTTAAATTGAATTTGCATTTAGATACGAGGCCTCCAGCCAGCAGAGCGATTTTTTTTTTTCCATCTAGTTTAAAGAATGTTAAGGTTTGGTAGAATAAGGACTCGATGATATCCATAGCTGATCAATAAATAGTGGTTTATTTAACAACAGGTATGGCTTATATACAAGTGCATTATGTCTGTTAAAACAAATACAAAATGAAATCAAACAATCAGAAATTATAAATGGTACAATCCACGGTTTTTACATTCATTCAAATCTCCCATCAAGAGATTCTGAGTCGCACGGTTGAGAGAAGCAAAACCTGAAATGTGTACACTGGGGACTTCATGTGTCTGAGACTTTTAAGTACCAAGTTCAATACTTTTCACCAGTCCATGTTATGAGCTATTATTCTTCATCTTATTGAAGCTGGGGGGGGGGGGGTCTTCACACATTTACTATTTACAAAGGCATAAAATGTTCTTTTTTTTGCTTTACCACTGCTCCCTGTCTTATTGTCTGCCTTAGCGCTGGTGCTAACAATGCTTTGGATTGCTTTTACTTTTCTAACTTATCTGCAAGGAAAGTCCAATCAAATGCATTTGGACGTAGATGGTCCAATCAGCACTCTGAAATAGCTGCGTGAGAGTTGTGGAAATGGAAGCAACAGATCTCAGAGAAGACACTGGATGTATTGTGCTGTGTCATGATATTGTCTTACACAGATCAGTTTCTGCAATACGCACACTGAGACAGAGAGACAGACACTCACAGACATCGAGGACTCAGAACAATGTGAAGCTACTGACCTCTGCAGATAACCCAAGTTCTACTGCTGACGCAGAAAAATCCAGTTTTACCATCCTGTTTCACAAGACTGATTACATATGGGTCTATTGCAAAGTTGTGTTATTAGTAATTTTTCTATTATATGCAACATCCAACTCAATTTTCCCTTTTTGTTTTTACTGTCAATACATCACCAAATTTGACATCACATGATAGCAGGGCATTGTGCTTTGAGGCTTAGCAGCATGGCATATGGATGTAAGACATGACTTGTTCATATGAAACTTTCTCTTAATGAAAGTTTGCTTACATCATGGTGTATTAACAGATCGTAATGGACTAAACCAAATGGAACTTTTTTACTTTGATTAAAACTGCTTCTGAGAAGAAAAAAACCACCACAGTTATGTTTGCTCAATCATTCACATACCAAAGGATATATTGCCTTTGCCAGTGCACATTTAACTTGGATTAATGCAAAAGAAAATTTGAAGTGAGTCAAGTACCTGCAACGTTTGTTATAATAGTACCACAAGATGTAAATAACAGAAGTCTGGAGTTATCATTGATTCCTGAATGACACCTTGATAGATCACCAGTACCCCCTGCATAAGTGATATACTAAGAGAACATTTTATCACATTTGAAATGACAAGACATCATTCAGCTGGCTCTTGTGTTTTATAGTAACATGTAACTATTATTCCTATGTATCATTATTATTGTTGTTGTAAACAGTGGTCTATCTGTTATCACATCTTTCACTAATATTACAACCTCCAATGCATGGAGTATGTAACTACACCTGTCCACTTACACACGAGTCAAGTATAACGCTTTCCACGGACGCAGGTGTTGGAAGAGAAAGTGTTTCCTTAATAAAGAGTCCGTCTTTTTCATATCAATAGGTTCATGAAGCTATGAAGAAGAATTCAATCTGTATTGTAAGATGTCAATGTGACAAATAAAAGAGATATTGCATTTTTTTAAGGTAAACTTAGTTGTGCATGTGAATGTATTTACATACATAAACTATGTTAATGCCAGAACATGATTTGGAAAACACACTGAATGTTAGCGATGCTTTGAAAGGTGGCGATCATATTGAACATTTCATCATCCATTGATTTCACTTAAGAAAATATTTGTGTCTTTTTCTTTTTTTTAAGGTTTGCTCGTTTGTTTAGCTGACACGTTCACAATTATTTTCATGCTTTGTCCCAACTGCAAAGACGAAGGTGTCACCCCACCGAGGTGACAGAAATACTGTAAGAATAAAGTAGAGGTATAATGCCATGGGAGATTATTCAAAATAATACTTTGAATTAAAAAAAAAGACTCAATCAAGCTCAACAACTAATTATCAATTTACATACAATTACACATTTACAAATAAGAGCATTTGCATACCATAAATTTCATTGACCGGAACGATTTGGAAAAATAAAAGTTTCTTTAGACCGACAAAATATGGGTCATTATTTTTCTCAAACATCTCTGTATCAATCTCAATCTCAGCTCTCAATTCTGACTCATCAAATCGTGATACAGCGTGTCACTTCTTCTATTCCGATACACAATTTGCGTTTCTCTTTTATTTCTAAACTGTTGAAAAGGGTTTATCAGATTCACTCTAATCCACTGCACTAAACAGTATTTCCCCAAACAGGAAAATACTGCATTTATACTCAGTTTTTGGCACTGTGTCTACATTTGATTTTGGTCTGAGTTGTTTTTGGCTTTGTATTTAGAAAAAAATCACTCCAATTTGGATTATTTCCTCTGTAACAGCAACAAAAAAAAAAAAAAAAAAATACTATGTAACATTCAGATTGTTTGTTGTCAATACAGGTAAGGCGACATTTTAATACAAATGTTAGACGGACATTTCATTTGAACCAAAGTAGTAGTGATCAGATTTTTTTAGTTTGTTTTCTTTTTAGCATCAATGCATTTCTCACCACTCTTGATTGTTGGTATAGTCACAAGTCTCTTTCAAATGACAAACAGTGATTTCCCATTCATTTAACATCAAAGTAGTTTATAGGCTGGTGATTTCCAGTGACATTCAAAAGAAGGGCAAAAGATGCTGTCACATTGTCACAAAACCAGCCTGTGGCACTCTCTCTGTTGCGTGGTCTCATTTATTGGCTTAACGCAGGAAGGGATGAGGGCATTGAGAAACATACAGCAGCTCTTTAAGACATGTTTACTCGACCCCAGGTTCTGGATAGCCTTCATCGATTGCCTGGAGTCTGAGCAGGATAGTTCATGCCCCCTCATTTTGCATGGGCTGCTTCGTCCTGCAACCATAAAGCTTCTTTTCTTGGCTGCATCCAACACTGGATCATGATGAGGCCATGCCATTGACAGTGTTGTTTTCTGTGCTGGCACTGATGGAAAGGACACCAGAGTCAATAGGGGAGGAGACGGTGCAGTCCAATAGCAATTGGGGAGTTGCTTCTGTGCAGTCTGGATCGTTGATAGAAGGTGGTACTGAATCTACAGCAATGGGGGGAACTGAATCCTGCCCTGGCTGGACAATGTCTGTCAAAGAGATTGACGCTGGTGTGGAGGTGGGAACAATGTCCGTGACAGGGAGAATGGTAGGAGTGGGTGTAGGGGTGTCAGTATCTAGAGCAGGGGGAGGGAATGGGTCTGCTGGGGGTATATGATCTTGGTCAGTAGGTGGAGGCAGACTGGGTGAAGGGAACTCAGTGACTGGGGAAAGGGTATCATTAACACAGGGAGTTGGGTCTACCTGTGCCGGTTCAGAGTCTATGACAGGAGGTTTTTCAAAGTCTTTACTGGAGGGGGTACATGTGGTTTCATCTACTATTTCTAAATGAATGTCTGAATGTTCGTCAATGAGGGGTGGAGGCTCAGTGGCAATGTTGCAATCTGTCATCAGAACAGGAGAGGGCATAGGAGATGGCAGTGGACTTTCATGCATAGACGGAGAAGGTGAGTCTTCTACAGCGATGTTACAGTCATCTTGCAAAGT